GTCTTGCCCCGCAGTTTCCTCATGGGAACAGGGACCTAACATACATCCAAAATGTGTCATTAATGCTCTGTCCTTACTAGGTCACAAAATCACAGTGTCACTTGGCTGAGAAAAACACTCAGCACACCCYAAAAACATTCATGGGATATTGCACAGAAACTGCAGCCTTCAGGGATCTGGTCTCTTCCGCCTTGGCACAGAGCTCTGCGATTAATACAGACCCATCTGCCCCATCTCTGCTCTGCAGCAAGGACTCCCACCAACATCCAGCTCTAAAAAGGATGGGACACAGCCCTCACACTGGTGTGAGTGAGTGAGTGAGTGAGTGAGTGAGTGAGTAAAGACTAATGGAGACAGGGAATTGCAGAAGGCAGCAAAAAAAGTGAGGCTGTGAATTTGGCTCCACTGTCCTCAGGGGAGCAATTGCCACTCAGCACCAGCAGAAAGGAAAGCTGGACTTCCACAGCTTTACTGCTTGTCCAAGGCATACACATGGCTGCTCTGCAGAGAGTACAGCCCAGAAAAAGGAGAAACATGTCTGCATCTCAGAAAGACACATCTTCAAGTGCTGCTCCAGCACATCACAGCCTTKCTGTTTACACTCACACCAGAATAATTAGAGCAGCCACTGTTAACTAGCTAACAACTTCACCATCAACTCTCCGAACAATACTGAAGAATTCATCACAACATTTCACAGCCACCCCTCTGCAGAAAAACTGAAATCACCCCAGACACAAGCAGCCTAAATTAATCCCACACAGATTCTAGCAAAAAGAACTACAACTATTCCAGCAGTACTTGCCTTAAAATAATGCCTGCTCAGGGCAGCAACCCAAAAGAAACAAATCCTCAACAAACCACACCTTATGCACAAAGCATGACTCAGCTCATGCAATAGGTGCCATCAAGAAATAAAATACAAGGGTTCATACTCGGCCAGGTTCACTCCCTAAACCAGCAGGTTCGTAGGATATGAAGCTCCCAGCTGCTGTGGGACAGCCCTCCCTTTGAGCTGCCAGCCTCAGCTCACTGAGAACCTGTGTCTTCAAAAGGCTTTCAGAACTTCTCCTTCCAGGGATACRAGCACCTGAAAACAACAAGCAAAATTTCTCCAGTGTCAAGTACTTGACAGATATGACAATTGTGCTTCTCCCTCTGTTTCTATCCATATCAATTGTGCCAAAATAGAAAATAAACTGAATACCTAATATATAAAATAGGTATGAATATACAAAATATATAATGAAACCGAAGACTACAATGAAACAGGAAAATGCTTCTAAAAACTTAAGCCAGTAGGAAAAGTGACCAACGAATCTAGTCTGCAAATTCCTAACCAAGTTAGAACTGCAAGTTCTACAGTCCTTGACTGCACCTTAGCATTAATGACAAAGTCTATAAAACATTTTCCTGTGATTAAGGGCTCAATTTGTAAAGTCACCACCTGTGGCCAAGTACACRAGCCTGAGAAACATTTGAGTTTCTGAAGAGCTGGAACACATGTACTCACACCTCACCCACCACCACAGAGCAGCAGYCACCCTCCCACACATCAATGAAAATCACTGTAGCTCCTTCCCACCATCATCTTTCAAATTAGTGTCCTACTCCAGTTTATCAGTTACTAGGATTTGTTCTCTTTAGAAGATTTCAGACACTTTTCTCCAACCATGCTAAGCTGAACCACTGTCTTAATTAAAACAATATGCTTGACCACATGACATTTTTTGGTATCATTCATTCACCTGCTGTACCTGATACTTTATTMATCACAAACATCTCTAACTAATTTTCAGATCTGCCTTGATGACTGATGACTGCTTTCTGTCGACAATTGCTTTGTACACTTCAATCACACATTCAACCAGAGCCAGCCATGTACATTCCTTTTTCAACCACATATTTGTGGTGACTGGATCACCTTCCTGMACATTGGATGTTTGCTTCTTAAAGCAAGTGGAACCCCATACAAAAAAAAAAAAAATAACATCAGAGCAACCATAAAGACAAGAGGMAGAATTTTCACAAGGGTTACTGAATACCTAGTTGTCATCAGAGGGGTCCTCTTTGCTACAGTTTAAGACACAAGACAGTAACCTTTTATCTCTTCCCAACTTTGTGCCTGGCTTTTACACCGACAGCTCAGCCCTTGCTTTCATCCCAAAGATGAAGGGGTAACTTGCCTCCTCACTCTTTCTCAGCTTCCTGAGCCTCCCTCTCCACCTGCCAAGCTGCAGCAGTGCCAGGGCTGAGTAGCAGAAAGTATCTGCCAGACGCTCTGCAGAAGTCTTCCCCCGCCCCATGTTAGAGGTAAAAATCCACCCAGAAGCCCTGCTTTCCCATCCTCCTTCCCCACTCAGGGGAGCTCCTACTACAGCCAGATGCTGCTCAAAACTGGCCTCTTCTGGTGATCTCACACAAACCAATTCCCTCCCACCTTTTGCTCACTTGTGTTGCTTAAATCAGCATCCCCACAGAGCCCTGGAGCCAAGGGAGATCTCCCACAAAGGCAGAACCTGCCTGCCCCTACACCCAGCATTTGTCAGGGCTCTGAGCAGCTGAACAGACCCAGCAATACTGCACCTGCCCACCATCCACCTGTGCTTAGGGGTGCTAACAGGTATCCTCTCCCCAGGCATCTTCCCAAGGCAGACTAATTGCACATATTGATTTCAGATCCTATTAAACTGCCTTCCACAACGCCAGCACTGACAAAATCTTCATGCCAAGCTCTTCAACACACRTCCTTTCTTCGCTAGCTTGGTGTGCTGGGATTTATCCTCTGCCCCTCAGCCAGGCAGACACCTCCTCTGGAGAACCAAACCACCCACCTTTGGTTGGTTTTCGGATGGCTTTTGAGAAGCCATCCAGAATACTCAGTCTTTTCCTGAAGCCTCTTACAAAAGTAGTTTCTCAATCCCCTGCCCCTAGGTAGCAATGATCCTGTAAAGGTTGTTCTAAGGTCAGCATTGACGCTGAACAGATGATCTGGCTTTCAGACAGAACTGCTCTTTCCACAGTTCATGAGAAAGTTTCACAAACACAGGGTTAATACATCCTTCAGTAATTTCAGGGAACAAAATCAGCAAAAAGAGATGCTGCAMGCCAGCAAGCAGAGCCTTGGCTGAAGCACAGTGACACAGCACAGTGCCACCTCTTCACACCCAGCCAAGGTTTAATCCACAGAAGTTTTTGTGGTGACCACTACCTAAATAGTGCTTTTTTCTCCAGCAAACAAAACACTGAAATGCCATCATTCTAGACATTTGCTCTGCTGCAGGCTGAGGACATTCCTAGTGCAGCCACCCCACAAGAGCCCATAAGGAAGGGAAATCYCACAAACCCTTTTCAGCAAAAGAAAAGCTGGCCCTTGAAAGCCGAGGTAGTGCAAGGACAATTAATTGYATCCAGCAAAGACATTCAGGGCCTAATGAACACATTAATTAAGGAGCACAGGCTTTGAAAGCCATGGTAGAAGCACAGCACCTTCTGGCTGTATGGAGTGATGGGRAAACTCACTGTTCTCTGGGGAAATGCCAGGACAGGTGAGGTCCCCTTGCAGCTCTGCTCCAGAAGTGCCTGGATGAGCAGCTCTGCCCACCCTTGCTGAGTCAGGAGCTGTCCCGGGAGCACTCACACGTACCCCACTCCAACCCATAACACCATCCTAAACCCAAGGAGAAATAGCTGGAGACAGCTCCACACAGAAGGCACTTCATGCCAGTGAACATAGCTTCCCTCATGGAAAGAAAACTATTAGGACCCAGTACCTACTGTGACTTAAAGCCTTCAGACCATACAAACCATGACATGCCTGAACTCCTCGCTGGAATGATAAGAGCCTGSTGCTTACGCTACTGGTTGCTAAGATTTGGCCTTCTCCAGGCAAAAGCCAAGGGAGCAAGCCCAGGAAAGCAAATTTATTGCTCTGCCTRGAGTTTAAACCCATTCACACCAGGYRTCCCAGCCCAAGCAYAGGGCTCACACAGCAAACCATGCACAGGACATGTTGGAGCATAGCCCCAGCACATGGGCTTTGGTTTTTCTCTTCAAGCGACTGAGACAGCAACTCTCTTCTTGACTTATCCAGTTTCAAATGCAACACTTCAAAGCCATCCCATGTCAAACTCTAGAACAAACTGAAGCTGCCAGAGATGCCTCACACGGAGGAAGTTAACACATGATAGGAAGCTCAATGTGGAATCTCAGACTACAAAGCCTATTAAACAAAACCTTTTCCGTTAAGTTACAACTACAACAGAATGGCAATTTTACCTTCATCAGAGCAGCTGAAGAAAGTGATATTTCTGCAGAATCAGCAGTTTTCCTTGTCCACAGCACAGAGGCCTTTGGAAGCTGCAGGTTATTGTCCCGCAGAGCCAAGGTATGTAGAGAGGAAGACAAGCCCCTCTCACGCCAGCCTGGCTGCCAGGTGCGTGTTCTGAGACACGGCCAGGGAAAGACAGCTCAGGCCAAGGCATTGAYCCACGAGAAAACCCAAACTTTGAGGAGCTCAGGCTGATCCCAAGGGCAGTGAGGAGGGTTAAGAAGCAGTGACAAACCTGCACGGAGCTCACCGTACTTCTTACTTACTTCTCTCCCCCCTCGAGAAAAGGACTCGAGATGGTTGGCGTGATGGTAAACTGCTCAAAATCCCAGCTTTCAGAAGGATTTTAAATTTTTTCCCATTTATTTTTGAGCTCGGTAAAATCACCACCTCCGGAGCTGCAGCTGCCGGGCGCATCCCCGGCCGCGCCGCGGCGGCGGCTCCCGCAGCCCCGGGGATGAGGCGGCTGCCGTAGTCCACCCGCACCGACCACCCGGCTCCCGCCCGCGCCCACTCCGCCGCCGCCGCCGGGACGCTGCCCGCGGACCGTCCCCGTGGGCTGCCCTCCCCGCACGCCACTTGTCGCCGTCCGCCGAGGGCCTCACAGCCCCGCGGGTGCAGCGGGGTGGGTTCGGTTCCCGAGGGTCGCCCCGTCCCAGGGGCCGCTCACCTGCGCGCGGCGCCGCCGCCGGGT